CAGCGGCAGACTTTTATGCCTGGGAGCTGGAAGGGGAGGAGTTTGGGGCGTGTGTGTAGGAGTGGCTTCTTGAATTTCAGTGTCCCGGCTTGACATCACTCTGCACATGCTCAGTTGATTTGGTTCTTTTCCCGGGCGTGGGAATTTTTCCCGGGTGCGGGAAAATCTGTGATGAAGAACCCGGAAACAACAGGCACTGCTTCATCTTGTTCACCTTCCTCCATCTTGTCCCTTCTCCTTCACCTAAACACTGAGGCCTTATTAGAGGCCAAGCAGATGCTGGTGCCATGCTTTTACAGCCTGTAGAACTGTAAGCCAAATAAATCTGTTTTCTTTATACATTACCCAGTCTCAGATATTCCTTTATAGCAACTCAAAACAGACTAACACAGAAAATTGGTACCAAGGAGTGAAGCATTGGTATAAAAATACTTGAAAATGTGGAAGCAGCTTTGGAACCGGCAGAGGTTAGAAGAATTTGGAGGGCTCAGATGAAGACAGGAAGTTGAGGAAACACTGGAACTTCTTAGAGACTAGTTAAATAGCTGTGACCAAAATGCTGATAGAAATATGAACAGTGAAGACCAGGATAACAGGGTCTCAGATGGAAATGAGAAAGTTATTGGGAACTGGAGCAAAGGTCACTCTTGTTACTCCCTAGCAGAGAACTTGGCTGCATTGTGTCTATGTCCCAGGGGTTTGTGGAAAGTTGAACTTAAAAGTGATGACCTAGGGTATCTGGCAGAATAAATTTCTAAACATCAAGGCATGCAAGATGTGATGTGGCTACTTCTAACCATATGATCAGATGTGGGAGCAAAGGAATGACTTGAGATAGGAACTTACAATTAAAAGGGAAGCAGAGTATAAAAAATTGAAAAATCTGTAGCCTGGCCATATATTAGAGAAGGAAAGCACATTTTTAAGGAGAGGAATTGAAGTGGATTGAAGAGCAATTACAAGGGAAGCAGAGTATAAAAAATTGAAAAATTTGTAGCCTGGCCATATAGTAGAGAAGGAAAGCACATTTTTAAGGAGAGGAATTGAAGTGGACTGAAGAGCAACCACTTGCTAGAGAGATTTGCATGACTAAAAGGGAGCCAAGTACTAATATTCAAGACAATGGGCAAAAGGCCTTTAAGGCATTTCTGAGATGTTTGAGGCAGCCTCACCCAACCCAGGCCCAGAGTCACCCATCCCAGGCCCAGAGGCCTAGGAGGAAAGAGTAGTTTCAAGTTCCAGACCCAGGGCCCTACTGCTTCGCACAGCCTGGGGACACTGCACCCCACATCCTGTCTGCTGCAGCTCAAGTCATGGTTCAAAGGGCTCCAAGTACAGCTTGGGCCATTGCTTCAGAGGGTGCAAGCTGTAGCCTTGGTGACTTCCACATGGTGTGTTAAGTCTTCAGGCTTTCAGAATGCAAGAGTGAAGAAGGCTTGGCAGCTTCCACCTAGATTTCAGAGGATGTATCAGAAAGCCTGGGTGCCCAAACAGAAGCCTACTGCAGGGAGCCCCTGTATGGGAGTGCCCTTACATAGGAACCCCTGCAGAGAGCCCCTACATGGCAAGTACCAAGGGGGAAATGTGGGGTTGGTGCCCCTACACAGAGTCCCCATTGGGGGCTATCTAGTGGAGCTGTGGGAAGGAGGCTGTCATGCACATCCGTGTGAAGAGGCCACCAAACAGGTTTTGTGTGAGCAATAAAGCTTTTTCATCACTTGGGTGCAGGCGGGCTGAGTCCGAAAAGAGAGTCAGCGAAGGGAGATAGGGGTGGGGCCATTTGATAGGATTTGGGTAGGTAAAGGAAAATTACAGTTAAAGGGGGTTGTTCTCTGGCAGGCAGGGGTGGGGGGGTCACAAGGTGCTCAGTGGGGGAGCTTTTGAGCCAGGATGAGCCAGGAAAAGGAATTTCACAAGGTAATGTCATCAGTTAGGGCAGGAACAGACCATTTTCACTTCTTTTGTGGTGTAATGTCATCAGTTAAGTCAGGAACTGGCCATCTTGATGTGTACATGCAGGTCACAGGGGTATATGATGGCTTAGCTTTGGCTCAGAGGCCTGACAGAGGCTACCACCCTCCAGACCTGAAAATTCTAGAGCCACTGGCAGCTTGCACCCTGAGCCTGGAAAAGCCACAGGTACTCAACTCCAACTCAAGAGAGAAGCCATGGGAGCTGTACTCTACAAAGCCACAGGGGTGGAACAGTCCAAGGCCTTAAGAGCCTATCCCTTGCACCACTGTGCCCAGGATGCAGGATATGGAGTCAGGATTATTTTGGAGCTTTAAGGTTGAATGTCTCCTCTTCTGGGTTTCAGGTTTGCATGGGACCTGTTGCTGCTTTCTTTTGGCTGATTTCTCCCTTTTGGAATGGAAATATTTACCCAATACCTGTACCACCATTGTATCTTGGAAGTAAATAACTTAATTTTGATTTTATAGGTTCATAGGTATAAGGAACTTGCCTTGAATCTCAAATGAGACTTTGGACTTTGGAGTTGATGCTGGAATGAGTTAAGACTTTTGGAAATTATTGGGAATGGATGACTGTATTTTGCAGTGTGAGAAGGACATGAGATTTGGGGGGCCAAGGGCAAAATAATATGGTTTGGATGTGTGTCCCTCCAAATCTCATGTTGAAATATGATCCTTAATGTTGTAGGTGGGACTTAGAGAGAGGTGTTGGGTAAAGGGGGTGGATCCCTCATGAATGGCTTAGTGCCATCTCCTTGGTGGTGAGTTCTCACTCTGTTAGTTCATGTGAGAACTGGTTGTTTAAAAGATCTTGGCATCTCTTTTGCTCCCTCTCTTGCCATATGACAATCCTGTTTCCTGTCACCTTTGCCATGATTATAAGTTCCCTTAGGCCTTACCAGAAACTGAGCTGATGCTAGTGCCATGCTTGTACAGCCTGCAGAACTGTGAGCCAAATAAACCTCTTTTCTTTATAAATTATCCAGTCCCGGGTATTCCTTTGTAGCAATGCAAAATGGACTAACACAGTTCTGATGCCATACCAGCCTGGGACTATCTACCTCAGAGAAGAATTAATTCCATCTTGTTCAAGCCATGTAATTTGGGGTTTCAATTTATCTACAATCAAACCCCAATAATACTAGTTCTTTTTGTCTTTGCTTCTCCTGAACACCAGCTTCAGTGCCTCCTCATGCAGGTTCTACTGTCTCCCATTGTTCACAACTCCTACCATTAAAGATGGTCGAATGGCTCCTTCAGCTATAGTGTGAAAACCCAGGGAAGGACTCTGATTGGTCCAACATGGGTCAGTTGGACATAGGTCAATCAACTGTGGCCAGGGAGGCAGGCCAAGAAGCACAGATGGAGAAGTTGGGGCCACTCAGGTAGTGCGGGCCACTCCCAGGGCAGTTTCACCGCAAGGTTGCTGCATTGGGCTAGGTCTCCCGCTTACTCCCCAGTGGCAGGAAGTGATGCTCAGCTTGTCATGTGTCTCTGTGGGCCATATTTCTGAGGGTACATTAAGGCTACATGCTGGTTTGTGCCCTGGAACCAGCCTTCAGGCCCTTCCACTGCTGGAAGCTTCCAGCCTGGGAGGCAGAAGAGAACGGTGAACAGTATGGATACCAGACTGACTCTCAGCCTTCCCAAATTTCTGTTGTGTAAACTGAGCAGGTCATTTCACCTCTCAGATCCTTGGCTTCCTCTTCTGTGAAGTGGGGATTGTGACAGTTCCCACCTCTCAGGTTCCTGTGGGGATGAGACTCGCCGAGCATTACAGCACAGAGTGCTCTGTCTGGCCCTTGGAGGCTGCCCAGTAAATGTTGACTCCCGTGTTTGACCAGGCTCAGAGGGGAAGTGACAGGCCCAGGTCCCCCTGCGGTCTGTGTGCATGGACTCCTCTCCCTTCTAGAACCCAGTCTCTTTGCAGCTCACAGCACTCTCAAGTCTTCACCCTTTTCACTCAGCAGGGAAGTGGGATCCCCTCACTAGTTTGGGCCTGGGACCACCCACCCAGTCCCAACTATCCCTAATGCTCCCATAAGCCTGGTTCCTTTCCTCCCACCCTTGCCTGGAGTCAGGGCTGGGTTTTACTTTTGCATTTTTCTATTGTAGTGAAAAATACATAACATAAAATTGGTGATCTTAACCAGTTTTACATGTACAATTCAGTAGCATTAAGTATATTCCCATTGTTGTGCTACCATCACCACCATCTATCCACAGAACTTTTTTTTTTTCTTTGAGACAGAGTCTTGCTCTGTCACCCAGGCTGGAGTGCAGTGGCGCAATCTCTGTTCACTGCAACCTCTGCCTCTCGGATTCAAGCAATTCTCCTGCCTCAGCCTTCCAAGTAACTAGGATTACAGGCACCCACCACCACGTCTGGCTAATTTTTTGTATTTTTAGTAGAGATGGGGTTTCCCCATTTTGGCCAGGCTGAACTCGAACTCCTGACCAAAAAGTGATCCACCCGCCTCAGCCTCCTAAATTGTTGGGATTACAGGCATGAGCCACTGTGCCCAGCCAAAACTCTTTCATCTTCCCAAACTGAACCTCTGTCCCCATGAAACACTAACTCCCCATCCCCCACCCCCAGCCCCTGGAGACCACCATTCTACTCTGTCTCTAGGATTGCGACTGCTCTAAGGACCTCATATGCTGGAAGCATAGTATGTGTCCTTCTGTGACTGGCTAGTTTCATCTAGACTAGTGTCTGTGGTATTCATCCATGTTGTAGCATGGGTCGGAATTTCCTTCCTTATTAAGGCTGGATCATATTCTACTGTATATGTGTATATGTAGACACACACACACACACACACACACACACACACACACAAGCTCACCACATTTTGTTTATCCATGTATCTGTCAGTGGACATCAGAGTTGTTTTAGTTTTCTGATTAAATTTTTTCTTTTTCTTTTCAGAGACAGGGTCTTGCTCTGTTGCCCAGGCTGGAGCACAATGGTGCAATCCTAGCTCACTGTAGCCTTGACCTCTTGGGCTCAAGCCATCATCCTGCCTCAGCCTCCTGAGTAGCTGGGACCACAGGTGTGTGCCACTGCACCAGCTAAGTTTTTAAAGAGTTGTTTTAATGCCCCTTTGCTGAGTAGGCTAGGAGGGGCCCTGGGGAGGGACTGAGGCTCCCTTGAGGATCCCCTCTGATTTGCTTAAATGCCTTCTAACCAAACACCCCAGCAGACATAGACCCTCAGTTAAGGAGGTTTTAGGGCTGGTTGTCAGGAGCTGGATAGGCTGGGGAGAGATGGGGGCCCATGAGAGGAAGGCATGGTGGAGGTAGGGGCTAGAATTCCAAAGCTGCAGGAGATGAGGCATCCAGGCTTAGGGGTAGGTCCTCCCATGGAGCAGGCGCCTTCGGGCTGGCTCTCCAGCTCCCCAAGGGAGGGACAGTCACAGGTCTGGGAGAGAGGTGGGAGGAACCCCAGGTTCTTATCCCAGTTTTGCTCTGGCTGGGAAACCTCCGACCTCTTCCAGAAGAATCTGCCCCTGCCTTCTGACCCCCTGAGCAGTGCTCTGAAACTCAAATATGGCCCTGCTGCTCCTCCCATGAGTTAGGGCTAGAGCTACAGAGAAAGCAGAGGAGGTAGTGGTCCCAGTTGTGAGCAGGCAGGCACTGTCCACCGTGCAGGAAGCGCAGTGTGGGAATGTCAGGTGTGGATGGCGGAGGGAGGTGGCCTGGGCTCCAGTCTTAACTCTGACTTACAGCTGTGGGATCACAGACAAGTCACGTATTATCTCTGGGCCTTGGTTTCCCCATCTGTAAAGTGGGGATACAAAGAGCTGCTCCTTCTGGGTGGTGGTGTGAGGATGTCAGTCTGCTCAAGCTGTCATAGACTGGGCAGCTTCAACAACAGACGTTTACTTCTGATAGTTCTGGAGACTGGGAGTCTGAGATCAGGGTGCTGGCAGGTGCAGGTTCTGCTGAGGGCTCTCTTCCTGGCTGCAGACAGCTGCTTTCTTGCTGTGTCTCTACGTGACCTCTTATTTGTGCATGGTTAGAGAGCAAGAGAGTGAGTTTTCTGGTGTTTCTTCTTCTCATTCTTTTTTTGTTTAGAGACAAGCTCTTGCTCTGTTGCCCAGGCTGGAATGCAGTGGCGCCATCATAGCTCACTGCAACCTTGAGCTACTGGGCTCAAGGGATCCTCCCACTTCAGCTTCCTGAGTAGCTGGGACCACAGGCGCATACCACCGTGGTGCCTCTTCTTAGGAGAACACGAATCCTATGGGATCGGGGCCCATCCCATGACCTCATTTAACCTTCATTATCTCCTGATAGACCCAGTCTCCAAATGCAGTCACAGTGGGAGCAAGGGCTTCAACATATGACATCTGAAGGGGACACAGTTCAGTCCACAGCCAGAATGAATGTGGCTGTCCCTGTGGAGTTCATTCCAGTTGTCGCCTCCTGATTCTTGCTCCTGCTCTTTCCTCTGTCCTCCAGAGCATACTTCCTCACCTCTTCCAGGAAGCCCTCCCTCATCGACTGGGTGAGGTTCCTCCTTCCCTGGGCTCCCACTGGCCCATGGGGCTTCTTGCTGCCCCTCTCTCTATGACAGCAACACTGTGACTTTCAATAATCTGCTTACCTAATGTCCACTCACCAGTGTGTTCCTGTGGGATTGGGGCATCGTCATTTCCCTGTCTTCGGTGTGCAGCCCAGACACTGGGATGCCCCAGGAGCTCAGTTGTCTGCTAGGGCACTGGTGGTCATGGGCCTCAGTTTCCCACACCCACTCACTCTCTTGCTCCATTCAGGTCTCAGCTCAAAGGCCACCACGTTCGAAAGGCCTTCCCTGACCACCCGGATGGGGCTCACCTCCCTGTCACTCTGGAGCCCTTGCCCAGATTTATTTTCTACTTAGCACTTACCATGGCCTGAATCACCCTAGTTCTTTATTTGTGTCTACTTCTACTTACTTATCACCTGCAGTGTAAGCCCACTGAGGACAGGGACCTTGTCTGATATCTCTGGCACAGTGCATGTGATACATATTTGCTGACAACAGCAGAGCAGGCAGTTGAGGACTCTGAGGCCAGAGGAGGGAGGCAGCATGCCTTGGGTCTCCCGCACCATTATCTTGCTTGCAACAACCCCTTGCCCTCAAGTGAGTAGGCTGAACAGCATTTACCAAGCACTTTTCTTATCCCTAATCTCATTTGATTTCTGATTTCATTTCACAGATGGGAACACTGAGCCTCAGATGGCCAAAGCAGCCTGCCCAGGGCTTCGTGGCAAATCAGGGGCTGAGTCAGGGCTTGGGTAGGTCTGGCTGCCATATTCCTTCCTTTTCCTCTGCCCCTCTTCTCTTTTGAGGGTCATCCCCCACAGCGCCCCATCATAGGATCCTCAGAATGGTGTCTTTCCCATCTGGATCAATTATTCATCTCCTCTCTTCCTAGGTTCCTGTTTTCCAGCTCTTGGGGGACTCACTTGTGCCCTGAGTGCCGTGTTCTCTGACCAGGATGCATCCCCCCTCCTGTCTACATGGGGACTTCTCCCTGTCCATTGGGACCCAGCTCTCCTACTCTCTTGGCTTTGTCTGAATCCTCTCTCCTCTGAGGCCCGGGGCTGAGTACAATCTCCAGCACACAGTGTATCCAGGGCCTGATTGGTTGGAATCATTTTGTTCCAAGAGCCAGAAACCCACAATGGACTGCTCAGGCAATGAGGAGAATGTGTGGGTGCGTTCAGCCCAACTAGGAAGGCCAGGGGTCGGCTGCCAAAAGATACCTGCACCGGGATGCTTCCTTACTCTTCCCGTTGGATTCCCACGTGTCTCTGCATGTTGGCGACATTCTCTCAGGCTAGCTTCTTCTGTGGCCCTGGAATGGTGGCACCTGCAGCTCCCTGGTTCACATCTTTTGTTTGTAAACTCAAACATCTTGGGGAGTGGCTCTGAGTGGCCAGTTTGGGGCAGACCAATCACTGTGGCCAGGGAGATGGACACATTTGAAGCAAAATCACAGACTTACTGGCATTACAGCTTAGACACACAAAACAGATCCGACTTCCCCACAGCTGCCTACTCTGCTCTGTGTGTGTGTGTGTGTGTATACTTATGTGTGTGTACTCATGTGTGTTTGTGTGAGTGTATACTCATGTTGTGTATACTTGTGTATGTGTACTTGTGTGTGTGTGTACTCGTGTGTGTTCGTACTTACGTGTGTATACTTGTGTGTGTACTTATGTGTGTTTGTGTGTGTACTTGTGTGTGTGTACTCCTGTGTGTATACTCGTGTGTACTTGTGTGTGTGTGTACCCACGTGTATGTGTGTGTGTGTATGCTCTCTGACTATATTGGGTACATGCTCAGTCTTTCAATTTTCCCCTTTCACTCCCTTCCTCTAAGTCCCTGTGATTGTGGAAGTCAATCCTGTGTGCTATCTGGTGGCAAGGGAGGGGAGACGTGAGGAGAGGGTAGGGATGGGGACTGGGTGCCAAAAAGGAGCCAGCTACGCACAGGTGAAGGAGTGGTGTGGCAGAGCAGTCAGGCAGAAGGTGCAAGGGTCCTGGGGCAAGAGTGTTTGTTGCACGTTCGAGAAATAGCACAGAAATCTGTGCGGAGGAGGTCAGTGGAGGGGGTTGGTTCGGGTCACATAGGATCCTCTTGGCCATTGAATTACGTGTGAGATGGGGAGACACGGTGGGGGCTGAGCAGAGACACCATCTGACAGGCATGTAGAAGCCTCACTCTGGCTGTTGGTAGAAAGGTCAGGAATGGCGGCAGGGAGACCAGAGGGGTGGCTGCTACAATTGTCCAGGCCAGAGGTGCGGGGGCTGCAGTCAGGGTTGCAGCAGGAGGGTGGGGAGAATTCTGGATGGAGTCTGCACGAATCTGGAAGTGGAGCCAACAAGATGTGTGTATGGGTTAGGGGTGTGTGTGTGTGTGTGTGTGGTGTGAGAGAGAGAGAGAGAGAGAGGGAGAGAGAGAGAGACTGATCTCAGCGACTGGAAGAATGGAGCTAGTATATACTGAAATGGGGACGTCTCAGAGGAGCTGATTTGGGGGGAAGGTCAGCGGTTGAATGTCTCCACATTGCTTGAGATACCATCTAAATCAGTTATGGTAACGCAGAGAAGAGGTAGTGAGCCTCCCTCTTTTGGAAGCCATCAAGGTAAGGTCGGTGGCTGTGGTCATCCATTGCCCAAGGGCCCCCAGGCAGGTCTGGCAACAGATGCTGAGAGGTCCAGCTTTTTATCCTTCCATGTGGGGTCTGCAGACTGGAACTGCTGGCCTGTAGCCCCCACTGTGGCCGGCCTCATCTCCTGCATTGATGCTATTGCCTATGGCAGGAGCCAGCCCTTTGCCATGGCTTCCCTGCCCCTCAGTCCAGTGGCCTGTGAGCTGCACCCAGTCCTGGCTCAGGGGAGGCCTTAATGTCCCCTGTACACTCACCTCTCTGAGGTGCCTCAGTGGAGGCTCTGACGTTCCTGGGGCTGGCATGGGCAGGACGGACACAGGGTCCTGGCTCCTGAAGCCTGTGATTAAATGATTATTTTCCAGCTAGACACTGATGCCGCCCACACCTCAGAGCTGCACACGTGACCACATTGGCCAATCAGAGTAAACCCCAGGATTTTTGCTGAAACCACCAGGAGAGTCCTTTTTCTCATGGGGTCACGAAGCTAAGGAAGGGAGCTTGGAGCTGCTGGAAGTTGTCTTTGCCACCTCCCCAGAGGAAAGGTTTTTTTTTTGAGGTGGTGCCAGCTTAGAGGAAATCAAAGCAGACATGCAGAGAGGCTGAGCCCTGAGGACAGCCTGAGCCCTGGGTCCAGCTTCATCAGATCTGCTGTAGAATTTTCAGTTTTTGAGACCACTCATCATCTTTAAGGCTCAGACCAGTTTGAGTGGGAATCTGTTGTTTGCAATGGAAGTAATTCAGACCGATGCACAAAGAAAACCCTGCACCACGCTTGACAGGTGAGCTAGGGCCTTTGTGGTCACTGACGTCCTCTCCTGCAGCTCCACCGCTGCTGTGGGTCCCCTGGCCATGCATGTGAACTTGGCCTCTTGCCTGGTCCCCACCCCTCCATCAGCCCCAGTCTTTCCTGGGCCCAGGGCTCCCTTATCTCAGTAGCTGCTGCCCCTTCCTGGTCAGAGTTGCTCAGTTTTTTAATCTCTGACATGTGCGGCTACTCTCTAGGCCCTGACCACCTTCCATGTTTTTTCCCAACTCTGAGCAGATGCTTCAGTTTTCCACCAGGAGCCAATTCATGTTCCCTTGCAGGTGAAATGGATAAGGGACCTGCTGCTGGTTAATGAGAGGAAAGGCCATATCACCTGGGGGCTTTGGGGAAAAGTTTGCTTCCAGATGAAGAAAGAGATGGAGCCTCTCAAGGAGAAAGCATTTCCCTCTGGTGCTTCCCTTCTTTGTGCCTGCAGCTTCAGGGACCACAGAGGGACAAGTGCAAGAAGGACCTGTCATCACCGGGCCAAGGAAGGAACTCCAGACTGCCTACTTCCAGAGGGTCTGCTGAGTAAGCCACACACATCCTTGTGGTTTAAACAACTGGTCACCCAGCATCTTGTCATTTATAGCAAAAAGCAGTCCTACCTAATACACTAGCCAAACACCCATGGGCTCGCCCAAACATTCAGCAAACACTAAATCAATGTTTGCTGAGTATTCCCTGCATCCTGACACTTTATCACATTTAATTTAACCCACCTAACAACTTGAAGATCCAAATTATTATCCCTACGTTAAAGATAAGGAACATGGGTGTGATAGGGCAGCCCTAGTGGCTGTAGAAAAAAGACAACCCCAAATCTCAGTGGCGTCACACAATAGATGATGCTATTTCTCACTCATGCAAAGTTTCATTGTGACTGAGATAGGGGCTCCATACAGTCATTCAGAGACCCAGGATGATGGAGGTTTTGCCACCGTCAACATGGGGCTTATAAGTCACTCTAGGTGTTAACATCTGACTGGCAGATACGGGAAGAAAACGTGTGGAGGATCGCACCGAAGGCGTCATGGTCCAGTGTGTGATCCAAGTGTGTGAGCATCACTTTCACCACATTCACTGACTGGAGAGAACTCAGCCATATGGCCACACCCCAGGGCAAGGAGGGCTAGGAATGATGCCCAAGTATTCCTCCTGGCCCCAGAGGAAAGGGTAGTGAGTTGCTGAACAATTAGCTAATCTCTGCCACCAGGGCTCATGGGGCTGTTGAACTGACCCACAAAACTCTCAGATGGGTGAAGTGGAACTCTGTCTGCTTTGTTTCCTCAGGTGTCCAGAAGTCCAGGGCTGTGCTCAGAATAGCATCAGAGCTTGGCTGAGCCAGGCACAAGCCAGAGCCGGTCCTTAGCAGGGACAGAAGTCCTCCTAGCATCCTCTCTGTCACTGGGCCATATTCCTTCTGTTGCTTTCATCCCTGTGTTCTAGGGGCTCGACTTACATAGCAGGGGTGGTGCACAGCAGATTGGAGAAGACAGGACCCTGGACCAGCTCTGCGTCCTAACTGTGGGGTCTTGGGCAGGTCACTAGATCTTTCTGTGCCTCAGCTTCCTCATCTGTGGAGGGCACTAACACTACTTCCTTCACAGCGTTGCTGGGCCCTGGGTGAGTGATGCACAGAAAGCATTCAGAGCCATGCCGGGTAGTGACCCCTGGGTGTTAGCTGGGTTTCGCTCCCGGGGAGTCCTCCTGGCTCCTCATTGTCCCGTGTTACAGATGAGGAAACAGAGGCGCAGAGGGAAAGTCGCGGGTCTGCCCCTCCTGCCACTCCACCTTTCGTCTCCATGAGAGTTTCTGATAGGGAGCGGTTTGGGGGTCTCAGGGACTACTCCTTGCGGGCTACGGGCTGTGGGCTGTGGCAAGGCCCCCTCCAGCAACCTGGGTTCCTGACTTCCTCACAAGGCCTGGCCTCCTCCCTCCGCAGCACACTCACACCACAGGCCTGAGGTGCTGGAGTCTGTCACTGGTGTGCAAAACCCGCAGAGCTTTCTCATTTCTGCTCTGGCGGAACAAAATCCCCTGCAGCTGAGCTTAGTCAGTGGAGGCCTCAGGATGTTCCGTGTGGAGAGATAAGGCCCAGTGGAGTGCTAAAGCTGAGCCCTGAAGCGTAGGCCCATTAGGGGCCCAGAAGAGCCTGAGCCTCTGGTGGTGCAGTTTCCTAAATCCCAGCTCCTGAGTGTTTACCTTCTTCACGCAGGCTCCCAGCAATCCATGCACCTTCTCCTGGGCCCCTCTTCCTCCCTCCCTCCTCTTGACTCAGTGAGTTTTTACTGAGCACCTACTGTGTGTCAGGCATTGTTCAAGGTCTGGGGGCACAGCAGCAAATAAGGCAGACACAATCCCTGCCCTCAGGAGCTGGCATGCCTGGGCCGAGGCAGACGCAGGTGGATGCAGGGTATGCAAGAAGGCACCAAGAGCTGAGGAGAAAAATGGAGCTGGGGAGGGACAGGCATCATGGGGTGGGGGCAGGAAGAGCTGCAGTCTAGAATCAGGTGCTGGGGAAGGTAGGAAAGTGAGGAGTCGAGTCTTGGGGCAATCTAGGGGAAAGGTGTTTCAGGCATTTCAGGCCAAGGGAACAGCTGATGCAAAGGCCTGGGCCTGCTGCGCCTGTTGAGGAACAGCGAGGAGACCAGTGTGGCGGAAGCACAGGGGGCAGGGCCGGGGTGGGGCCAGGAGGGCTGAGAGGTCACAGGTGGGGCTGGGCTGGCCAGGCAGGGCTGAGTGCACTGAGCATGCTGGGAAGGACAGGAGACACAGGATGGGGAACGGCCTAACAGTGAACGGAACACATGAATGCCTGGCCCACAGAGTTCACAGTCTAGAGGGGAAGAGAGAGAAGAAATGACATAAAAAGAAAATGACACAGCGTGGAAGAAGGCGATAAAGCGGGAATGGGAGTTGGGAGTGCCCAGGGGGAGGAGGCTGCCCTGGAGAGCAGGTGGTGGGGCAGGACCTCGCTGAGCAGGAAGAGCTGAGCAGAGATGCCAGAGCCAAGGAGTGCTCTGTGGGTACTTAGGGAAGAACATTCCAGACATGGCCTCAGCAAGCTATTGCCACAGTAATGCTGTTTAACAAACCACCATGAGACTCAGTGGCCTACAACAATGGCGTTTCTTCTTCTCTGACATTTGCCGGGTCAGCAGGCATTCAGAGGCTGAGGCTGGGCTTGGCGTGGCTGGACCCCAACACTTGAGCTTGGGGCTGCACCCCCAGCTTTCTGTCTTTGATCTTCCTTAGAGTAGTGGCTTCAGAGGTATGATCTTCTCATGCACAAGAGCAGAGCCAGCCAGACACTCATGTTTAAGGCTTCTGCTCACATTCGTGTCTGCTGACACACCTTTGGCCAAAGCAAATCAAACCCAGCCTTGAGGGGGTAGAAAATGTGCTCTGCCTCCAGGCGATACAAAGAGGGGTGAAGGACAGGGGCACTAAAGCTGAGGTCCGCCAAGCTTTTCCGTAAAGGGACAGATAGCAGTTTTGGTGGTGCAGGCCATATGGTTGCTGTCTCGGCGACTCAGTCCTGCTGTGATAGTGGTAGTGTGGAAGCAATTGTAGACGCCATGTGAGCAAACAGGTGTGGTTGGGTGCCAAGAATAGTTTATTTATGGACATCAAAATTTGGATTCAATGTAATTGTCTTGGGCCACAAAATATTATTCTTTTTTTGATTTTTTTTTTTTTTTTTTTTTTTTTTTTTTTTTTTTTTTTTTTTTTTTTTTTTTTTTAAATTTTTTTTTTTTTTTTTTTTTTTTTTTTTTTTTTTTTTTTTGAGATGGAGTCTTGCTCTGTCACTCAGGCTGGAGCGCAGTGGCGCGATCTCGGCTCACTGCACTCTGCTTCCTGGGTTCAAGTGATTCTCCTGCCTCAGCCTCCCAAGTAGATGGGATTACAGGCATATGCTATCACGCCCAGCTAATTCTTTTTCATATTATTAGTAGAGATGGGTTTCACCATGTTAGTCAAGATTATCTCCAATTTCTGACCTCGTGATCCGCCTGCCTCAGCCTCCCAAAGTGTTGGGATTACAGGTGTGAGCCACTGTGCCCGGCCTGACTTTTTCCCAACTTAAGAAAAAAGGAAAACCGATTCTTAGCTTGTATGCTGTACAGGAATCGGTGGTGGGGCATTTGGCCTGTGGGTGGTAGTTTGCCGACCCCTGCAAAATAGACCTCAGAGCTCCAGCATCTCTCGGGCCACCCTGCAGTTTCCTGGAGCCTCCAGGCTGCAGGCAGAGGCACAAGATGCCTGCAGAAGAGAGCTGGGAGCCTCTGCAGGGACTAAGATCACAGCAGCCACAGCGGGTGGCAGGGGGATGGCGTTTTTGAACTGATTAAAAGTCCCCTGATGGCAAGCATGTGCGGGGAGATTCGGAAGCCATCTGTGCTTCCTGGTGACAGTGGGGAGCTGGAGCTAGACCCATTTCTCAACAGTAAAGCCCTACAGGACTGGTGTGAGACTCAGATAAGACCATGACCATGCAGGGGCTCGAAAGACGGTAAAATACCTTATGGATGTGAGCAGGTATTGTGTTTCTTAAGGTTCTGCTAACTGTGGTTTTTGTTTCTCTCTCTCTCTGTGTGTGTGTGTGTGTGTGTGTGTGTGTATGTGTGTGTGTCCTTTCCCACTGCAGGGAATTTTAGCTTGAACTTGCCTGCCCTAACTAGGGCTTTCTGAGCAGCAGATAATTTTGCAATGGTATTAGTCCAGGCCTGGCCTGGCCATACTGTGAACCCTGGGGTCATTATGTCTTGGACTCCAAGGGGCCCCATGTGACACTGCACAGAGCTCTCTAGGTCACCTGGATGTGTCTCTTCCCAGGAACTCCAAAGAGCTCAACGAACACACCCACGAGTTCCAGGAGTGAGGCTGCAGGGAACAGCCTCAGTCTCAGAGGGGATGCAGAATTGTTCCAGTGGACAAGGGCTGGGACTGGCATAGGATGCCATTGGCCCATGGTTTCCAACAGAGGTACAGTTCATTGAACCGTGGTCTACAGTCCATTCTGTAACTTGGGGACCCTTGAAGAAGTGCGGAATCATGACAACAACCCTGTTGGGAGGTACTATTATTCCCATCGTATGGATGAGCACACGGAGGTCAGAGGAAGTTATATGATTGTCCGAGGTCACCCAGTGAAGACCGTGTGGCTGGGAGTTGTCCCCGGTGTTATCTGCACGCTGCTTCCTTTTGATGTCTGGCCTTTCTTTATCAAAAGAAGCATTGGCGGAATCTGAGTATTCATGGGTCAGCTCAAAATATATTACTTTATATGTCATTCATATTGTTCTTCATTTCCTGGACAGTAGAAGTCCCCTCCACACCCACTTTCTGTTGTTAGAAGGAGCTTGTCTCATTGTGAAGAGGTCTTTTCCTTCCGGCTTCCTGGGCTGACATAAATATCCAGGAGAGAACTCCTCCCTTGTCTGGCAGATCATTGAGGGTGGGAGAGTCAGGCCTGGACCCTGGTTGGTGCAGTGGGAGTAGAGCTTGGCAGCTGCAACGCCTTGTCCTCTTCCTGAAGATGCTTCTTGTGTCGGCCTGGCTTCCAGGGGCCAGGTGCTGCAGACCAAAAGCAGAGCTGCCTTGAGCCCCCAGACCAGGCTGGGTCTGTTCTGAGCTGAGTCTATGCCATTCAGAGGTTGGCTGGTATGCAAAGAGCTCCCACCCAAGGACAGTCCCAGGGCCCAGCACAGAGACTTTCTTAGCTGGGCTGTCTTCCGAGGGGCCTATCTGCTAGGACCCTCAGTGTAGCAAGCTCCAGCAAGAGGACACTTTCTTACCACCCAGGGGAAGGGGGCCTTGGGTTGATGCAAATAAACCTTACATTTATCAGCCAAATGTGCATTATTTTCTTATTGTTTGAAAACAATTTAGCTGGTAACTATTCTGCCATTTTGCTTATGAAAACATTTAAAACAGAGAAAAATGGAGGGACTAATTGGAAGAAATTGGAATGACTTGCACCTGGATTCAATAGTGGTTAAAATTTTTGTGTAGTTGCTTCATCTCTCTTCCTCTCTTTATGCATTTTCTCTTTGCGGAACTCTTTGAAAGTAAGTAACAGACATCACAAGGGGACACCCTAAATCCTGCAGCCTGCTTCTTTGAAGAGTGGGTTTTGATCACCCAGAGACCTTCATGAATCTCCAGATTTGCAAACATGCTGTCCTGGGCGTCTGTTGTTTTGCCAGTAGCATAATCCCCTTCAGCTTTCCTTTAGAGAACAAAGTCAGTCTGTGTGGCGTGTGGGGGATGACACCTGCGTCCCCTAGGCCTGGCAGGCCCAGTGGCCCAGTGCCAGCTGACCTCAGGATGCTGCTGGAAGTGGTGAGGTTCCCAGCTGGCTGCATGTGGGTCAGAGCTGCCTGTCTTGCAAGTGTGATGGGGACCCTCCTGGGGTTGTGGCCACACTAAGGAAAGCAGAACCAATCAGCTGCGGCCAGAGCCAGCCAGGCCCCACGGGAAGGGATTCACTGCTTTTTGTTTTGCTAAACCAGTTTGAGTTGGGTTCTTATTGCTTGCAAGTTGTGAATGATATGATCTTAGCAACTGATTCCCCCATAAAATGTCCTCAATTATGTGAAAATGTTAAATTAATGAGGTGACCAGCTCAAGACTAAAGTAATTTGTGAGAGCATTAAAACAAACTTGGCCATTAGAATAAGCTCTCCACTTAGCTACTTTGCGCTGTTATTGTGGTAACTGTGGGCTGTGAACTCACCTAACCCATAGAGCCCACCGATGATGAATGACACAGCCTTACTTTGTGAGAAGGGCTGTGTTGGTGAGGATGTAGGGGGAAGTGGCCCCAGTGGAGACAGGGGTTCTGAGGGGTCAGCGGAGTACAGGCTCTGGCCAGGGCAGGGGCCGGGCGGAACTTCTCACATTTAGGCCTCTGCGACTTCCAAGGAAGTTGCCACCAGGGAGCTTGGAGTGGTTTGTCACGGATAAAAGTTGCCAGTGGTCTACCTGAATCCACTAAGACCTCTGCCCCCTACTTAGAAAGATTCATCAGAAAAGAAGATTAAGAACAGAGATGACATGGAAGATGGGTGGGAGGCCATTCTAGCGGGAGAGAACCATGTGAGCATGGTCACCAGGTGGCCAACGCAGAGAGCCTTTCTGTAGCCCTTAGCTTGGCTGAGCCTGATATTCATATCTGTGAAATGGGCCTAGGAGGCCACTAGGACTGCCCGTTCTATGTGCTCGGGACCTCTTGAAGGACGGTCTAGCCTCAGATGTCTCCTAAGAGTAAGGATGCTCCCCTTTACGTGGCGGACTCCTAAAGGAGAATCTGGAGAACTTCACGTCCCCAGTTCTGCAGGTGCCACCATGAGAGGGACATCTGCTGTGTGGGTCAGCCCCCATTCCACTCCCCACAGCCTACCTGGAGATTTTTTCTCTTATTATAATAGTCTGTCTGCATTTAAAATAGTAAAGAGCCCTGAAATTGAAGTGGAAAGACCTTCACATTTACAATTTTGTTTTCATTAGATTTGCAGGAAGTTTTTCTATTTTATTAGTATATTTTCAAAGAACCAGGTCTGGTATTTATTTGTTATTTTCACTGCTTTCATGTTCTCTAATTTATTTATCTGCTTTTATCTTTATGATTTTCTTTCTCCTATTTTCCTTTGGGTTTGTTCTTTTCTTAAAAATCCGAGGTTG